GAATGGGCAGCAGATGAAGGAAGGCAGGATAATCAGCAGGGCGAAGTCAAGAGGCGGATCCAGGTTCAGTCCACAGAAGAATCCAACAGGAATCTGAAGACAGGCGGACAAACTAATCAGACAGCGGCAGGCCGGCTAGAAGGTCCAGATACAGATCAGGATCAGACGTCTATAGTAACATTGGAGAACTCCCGACACCAAGGGCTTATAGTGAGAATAATCTGGAACCGATGGCTGGGAAACAGGCAGCTTAAATAGGAAACCGGAATAGGTGGATCTGATAGGTGATGAGGAACAGGGCAGAGCTTGACAGGTGAATGAAATGAACAATCAAACCAGCCATCAGCTCCTAACAGCAACTCACCCTTTGGATCCAACCACAGCGGCGAGTCTTTGCTCCTCCAGCCGGCCTTCCAGCCTCCCTCATATTCACCACTTGTCTTTTTGGCCTTTTTCACATGAATTCAGCAGGAACATTTCTGGCCTTTTTGTTTCCTTAAACAGTTTCAAACTTTATTCATGTGCCAAACAGATTTTTAAAGAAGATGCAGTGATTTGTATGTGCAGACCTTCATCAGTACATAGAGGATATTGTAATGACCCACTGGGAAAATTAAGGATATGAAAATGCAAACATTTACTAATTTTACTCATTAGAAATGCAATCACTGTTTTTTTTTTCTACTTCCTTTGAAAGTTAGTAGCAAACTTAAGAAAGTCTTCCTGGTTGAATAGTGGTGCTTAGATGGAGATAATGACTCACTGAGGCGGTTAGGAGGTAGAGAGAAATGCATGGATAATATTCCAGGGTACTTGAACAACCCCTGCTTGGTCTTTTGGTCAAACAGACTGTATGATATTTCTGTCTTTACTCCAAGCTGTGGCAGTTAAACTAAACCTCATTAGACGCCTGACAAGCCTGATGGAGACGAATCGACAGACAGAATGGAAGAATAGCTTTTGTTGAGCCAGAATGTTGTAAAGAGTTTAAATATAGAGAGAGAAAACATAGATCATCACTAATGGTGTTTACATCAATAACAGGACAATAAGAGACACAATATCTGATTCTATTTTCTATGTAAGTGTATATCCCGTCTGAAAGGCCATGACAGGCCCCCAAAGGACTCCTGCATCTATGAAGTTCAGCTCTATAGAAGCAACCAATCAGGCTGCAGTCCCTCAGTTCTCCTGTTATCTTTCACAATTTTTAAATAAGCAACTTTAGAGTCGGGATCTTCCAGGATGCTTTCATTCACCAAAGCAGATTCACAGAGTAAAGCTTAGAGATGAATGTGCTTTTCTGCAGGAAACATCCTGAAGTCGTTAGAAAGGAGCTGAGAAGTTCTAGAAAAGGAGCTTCTAGCACAGATGTTCACCTTTTTGATTCCCACTGTGTTTTACCTTCTATTTATGTTTCCTCATTTTATGAGTTTTATAAACTAAATGGTTTTAAAGTCAAACTGATGCGGAGGATTTTAAGCCCATTGCTGCTATGAGGCGCTGTGCGTTATTGTATTTGGTGGGAGGAGCTTGGAAATATCCAGATGATGGCAGCTTGAGGCCTTGTGGCGTCACATGTTCTGAGAGACGACATGATGCATAAATAAAACACAAACTGTCAAACTGATTTCTGCATGTCATACATCTTAATATCTGAAGCTTTTCCTTTGAAGCTGCATGTTTGTGTTGTAATAAATGTTAAATGTGAGCATGTCCTCGGTCTGTGTGGGGGTGTGAGCATGTCCTCGGTCTGTGTGGGGGTGTGAGCATGTCCTCGGTCTGTGTGGGGGTGTGAGCATGTCCTCGGTCTGTGTGGGGGTGTGAGCATGTCCTCGGTCTGTGTGGGGGTGTGAGCATGTCCTCGGTCTGTGTGGGGGTGTGAGCATGTCCTCGGTCTGTGTGGGGGTGTGAGCATGTCCTCGGTCTGTGTGGGGGTGTGAGCATGTCCTCGGTCTGTGTGGGGGTGTGAGCATGTCCTCGGTCTGTGTGGGGGTGTGAGCATGTCCTCGGTCTGTGTGGGGGTGTGAGCATGTCCTCGGTCTGTGTGGGGGTGTGAGCATGTCCTCGGTCTGTGTGGGGGTGTGAGGCTGTGTGTGTTTCTGAAGGCTTGTTTTCCTGTGGGAATAAAAAGCTAAAATGTTTGGTTAATGAAGCAACTGACCGCTCCACCTGCATCAGACTCAGTCCAAGAACTACTGATAGTTCACGGTTTTAATTTGCTTCTTTAACACATTTAGTTTTTATTTTTCTTATTTGTTATTTAGAAATATTTATCTCCAGATGTTGGGATGAAAATGATGACGAAACTCTCCCCAGCAGGTTATTAACAGTCTGACCATGTGGTGGGGGGGGGGTCGCTGCCTATCGGCCATATTTTCCCAAACCTTTTTGACCTTTAACCCAAAATTAGAAAATTTGGAGGAGATTGATTTAGAAGTATAGAAAATACAGAATAAAACTGTGAAAATGGTGATGCCAAAATATATTTATATTTTCTTAAATATATAGAGATCCATAAATAGTTTATTTTATCTGGAATATGTCGGTTTGGTTATAACAGCTAAAACCTGTTAGGAAAAATTTTGATTTAGTCCAAGCTAGAAAAATAGAAAATATAATAGAATATCTCATTATTTTACCACAATGTGGAAACTGTGGTGCTGCAGCAGCGTTACAGAAAAACTGGACCTTAAAAAGTTTATCAAAATAATAGAATAAATAAAAAAATACAGAAATGAAATACTTTACTGTACGGTTAGTTTTTAGGATATAAATACGTTGCATCTGAAGATCAGATAATCAATAATCAGCTGTGAACATTTTCACAGTAATGAATATGTGAAAAATAACAGCAGCAGGTTATTTAACCGACTAAAATGCTAAATATATCATCCCACTGATGACCTGCATGTTTAATAGAAGACTCCATGAAGGACCAGATTATCTGTGAAAGATGAGGGATAACATGTTTGGTCTGTTTAGTGGACATGGAGAGGAACCTGTTTATAGCTTGTAGTGGGAAAAAAGTATTCAACCATTTGCTCCAGTTAAATAAATGGAGATCGATGGATTTCACTCAGTCGGCGCTTTATTTTATATCTTTACAAAGAGAGAACAGTTCATCATACGTCCCTTAGTGCACCGTAATCAGCCCTGTTCTGATCTGAGCAGCGTTCGTTCCTCCTTAGTTACAACAATGGAAAACAGTCAGAGTCAAATTTCCAGACACTTTGGTTAAACAGTAACATGTTATGAATTAACTGGAGAAAGAATCTAGTTTGTTATGGGAAGAAGTTATGTCTGCTCTACAAACACCATCCTGCAGGGAATTCTGTGGCCTTCCAGGTGAAACAGACTGACTGAAAACTTATAGTGAGTAAAAAGGATAAATTAATATATGAAATAAGAGAAACTAAACTTTCCGACCAGAAGCTACTTTGGCTGTAAATAAATCTCTTATGGTGAGAAAGAGAATCAATCTGACGACCATCATGTTACGAATCAATAGCAGCTGATTGATCAGGCGCCACTGGGAGCCACTACCGTGCAATTCCATATATGTGCATATATTCCATGTTTTAAGGAATATAACCAAATATTTATTACTTTATTATTTTCTCCTGTTCAAATTTATATTTTATTTTAAAAACGGCCCCAAAAGTCACTTCTTCATACAGACTATTAAGAATTTCCCTGCTCTTCTTTTCCCTTTTATCCCCTCAGACTTTCACTTTCTCTTTAGCTCACTAACCTCTTCCTGTGTTGTGGTTCTAAAATAACAGAAAATATTTCTTGTTCATTTTTCTTAAAGCGTTATTTTAAAGATAAATAGCGCTGGTGGGTTTTGTATAAAAATGATCAACATAACATAGTTAATAGGATCCATAAATACCTGCATCTATAGAAGCTGCCGAGTTTGAGAGGAGAAGAACAGTCCTGAATTTAAGCAGAACATCTGAACCTTTGATGAACTGTTATCAACCTTTGTTAAGGCGGCCGACGGTGCAAAGAGCACAATTATAAATATCATAGTGAATAAAATATTACACCTACCAGAATGAAAGCGATGCACCTTCATTTACGCATCTGCAAAGCTTTTTAAAAAGCTTTATTGGTTCGACGTCCAAATTTAGTCCAGATTTTAAAGGACAAATAAGACAAAGATTAATCAAATGCCTCGACTTTAAAGAGTCATTTATCGTATGTGAAGATCTATATTATTGATCTGCTACTTTGGTTAAAAAGGATTCTAGATTTATGAAGCAGATCCAACAAATCCAAACAACTTAACAATCAATAATTAACTTTAATGCATCACTATAAATATTTTATTTTAGGTTTTCTCTTTTCTTTCAGTTAATTTTTCCAAAGTCTAACAAACTTCATTAATTATTAGAATTTTTGTTCAAACTATGAAGTAAAGTAAAGCTTTTTAAGTAGCTTCTGATAAAGTTTAAAGATGAATCTGAAAGTGAAGAGTAATCCATTAAAGGATGATTTTGGACTAATTGTTGAGGCTGACGGGTGGAGCTGCTCATGCGCTTCTGTTTCGCTCTTAAAGATGCTGCTTCTTTTACAATCTGTTGGGTTTTTTTGTTTTTTTTGCAGCTCTCCTTTTAGTTTTGACGATAATTTCTCAGAAATGTATGATATATATATTTGCTAATACAGGCACAGTTTTAAAACCTTTTTGATCCAAAGAGTTCTTCACAAATTTATTCTTCTTTTTTTACCAGAAAACTGTTTTTTTACATCTTTTTTATTCCCTCTTTTTTTGCTCTGTAACTGTCTGAAAGAAAACTTTTCTGCACCGAACTCTTAAAAGTGTGAAACTGACAATGAGGTGACATCTCTGCAGTCGGAGTGACAGTTTTTCTTAAAAAGAAGCAGAATAAAGTCTAAATTCACTTTTCTTTTCTTTTGAGAGCATCTTTTAAAGGCTGTGTGTGTTCTTGATGACCTTGTTTTCCTCCGTTTTCTCCTTCTTGGTCCTATAGGTCCCCTTACAAAGAAACACACTGATGATTTAAGTGATAGTGACCGCACGGACGATGAAGGTATTTTTCCCCCCAGTGCCAACCTGGTTTGCATGATCAGGGAACCAGATTTCCCTTTTCTCCTCCAATTTTTATCTTCTTTGATTTTCTTACATTTCTTGTCCTTTTTTTGAAAGTAATGGACATTTTCTTTTTGCTCTTTACTTGTAAACTCTTTTTGGGCTGAATGTGTTTTGTCCTTTTCAGCTTGATGTCTTAAAGTACACATGTGTCCCCCCCCTCCCCCCATTCTTTGATATTAACACTGTAAACCAAATTCTCTGCTTGGATTTGCTGTTTCCTTTACGTTTTCTTTCTTTTTCTATGTTGCATCCCACCAGCAGATAGTTTAGCTATTAACTCCTCAGCTAGACCTCCTGCCACATTTTTGCATGTTTTTTATTTTGCCTAAATGTCGTGTTTAGGGAACTGGCTTTAGTACTTTAAAACTTAAGACTTGTTGAGTTTTAGGCATCAAATGCAACGTTATTCTGTACAGTTTTAATTACTGGTAGATTACAGTATGTTGCTCCGTTTATATAAAAAAAAAAAAAAAACGCTAAAATGCTTAAACTGGAAAAAAAAAAATGAAAGTTGTTAATTCCTGGTTCACACAGCAAGACATTTATTCCCATTTTTGGCCCAATGCTTTCAATGCTAAAGGCTGGTTTATGCTCAGAAAGCAGGTCGTCTGCGTGTGTCGCAGTTAACGCATATATGCCCCGCCCCTTTCTGCAGACACTCTGCTTCACCTCTCTGAAATTGTAGATGACCGCAGACAGGAGGCCCCTGATTGGTCAGATCTCCATCCACTCCACTCTATGCATATTTCCTGTTTGGTTCCTTACCGGCTGGTTTTGTTTGTCTGACCGCCATTGTGGGAAACGACTGGTGAAGATGGAGCAGCTAGCAGAGCGAGGTGAGAACGCTTTGACCCTTTGTCCACCTGGATCCCCGCTCTTTTTGGCCCTCATGTCCCTCCGTTGTTGCACAAACTCGCCCCCCCCTTCCTCGCCGCCTCGGCCGTATCTAGACCCACAGCTAGTTCCTGATTGGGCCTCTGGCGTTGTGGTGTGGAATAACATAGCGCAGAACACGCTTCAATATTGAGCATAAATCAAAAGTATCTGCATTAAGCTCACTGAGACACACTGCTGCAGGACGATAACCAGGCCTTAAGGTTAAGCAATCGGTTGGTCAACTTTCTACTTTCCCAGCTTAAACTCACCCACCTTAATGTTATCATGGAAAAGTTCTGCCCAGATATTGTGTCTAGATCCACAGTCAGAGCAGGGAAACCAGTTTCTGTGTCTGTGATGAACGAAGCAGTTCTGATCTGCTCTGATGGAAGCAGGAATCCCTCCGACCTTAAATCAGGGACATCCATCCTGCTGAATTGTCCCGGTTTCCTGCAGACTTGTTCCCTGCATGCAGAGAAGGACGCAGCTGCTAAAGGTCAAAAGCAAACATCTCAGCAGTTAAGGCTCCTCTCTCCGCTCCTTTACCCGACGCCTTTTCTCATGTGTAACAATCATTCTGTTAAACTTGGTGCCGTTACTCTTCTTTATCAGCTGTTTAATTACGCTGTTTGCCGTCTGTCTGTAAACCACACACTGCAAGATCCAACCGACAGTTTTAAAACGTTGCTCTGTGAACCAGGCATTAAAATAAATATAAATAAAGCAAAAAAATGTATTATTTGATCAAATTTCACTAAGTAACGAGTCTAAAATGGTTAAAACACATTAAATCCAATTATTTCTATAAAGCTACTAAAATATACTAGAAATTCTCTGCAGGTCTTTCCTTTGTTCCGTGATGAAGAACAAAGGAAAGAATAAAGGATCCAAATTTCTTGCTGCCGTATTTATTGGAGGTTAAGCAAACTGCAGATCCTGTAAAAATATAAACTATTTTTTTTCTTCCATTAGTATTTGTTCTTCACCATCTGCTGTTGCCGTTTAAGGCTCACTAAAGGTTTCCTTTTCACATGCAATTTCCAACCTAAAAGCAATCAGAAAAGGAGAAAAAGCTGACGCAGCATCAGAATATGTGCAGAGCTATTTATATGTGGAGCACCGGCAGTAATGCACACATTAGTGAGTTTCTGCATCCAGGATCGGATTCATTTAAACTAGTTTAATGTTTAAAGTCACAGCTGTGGTGAAATTCCCCGTTGTGGGACAATAAAGGCATTTTATTTATTATTTTAAATGTCTGCTCAGCAAATGCTTCCAAATCTGATCTTTAAAGACTTTTACTTTTCTCACAAGCTGCTGGTGCTTTAAAGAGACTTTATGAAATAGAAAGACCTTAAATATAACCAAGATTTTAGCAGCTTTCCTTATTAAATTAGCTGTAATTTCAGAACCCTTTATTTGCGTGATTGTTGTAGATGGTAAACTGGTTGTAAAATCATGAAGAGTCGAGGCTCTTAGAACGGCTTCACTGTAGATCTGATGACAGAAGGAAAGCCTCTAAACAGACATTAGATCAAAATAAGACCTGATCCCTTTGATCTGAGCCACCATGCTGTTCTGCTGGGAGCTGAACCCTTTTAAACGCCCACGCTAATGACATTAGACAGACCCACACACATTTTAGCAGCAAAATCCAACAAGCTTCAAATATTATCTTGATAAAAGGTTCCTGGAGGACAATTGAACCTTTTAATGTAAAGTAAAATGTGGCTGAGAAACAGTCGGGTCACCTCTGAGAACTTCACCCCTTTTTATCTCCCAGTCTTGACCTTTGACCCCTGGTAGCACATGAGGGAACATCCCCTGACCTTAACACCGCTTCAGTCCAATGCATGTGGATGTTTGAAATCCTTTTTCTGTTGGGAATAGAGATATATCTGAGAAAGTCCCTAAAAGCTGAGGATTAGCCTAAAGCTGGAGATATGTAGCCTATATAAGGCTGCAGAAGTCAGGACGATGGGTGCTGCTGCGCATGAAAGGACTTAGAAGCTCAGGAACCCAATCATACCGCGCATGTAAAATAAAAAACAAAGATATGAATCTTTTTAAGGTGTGGAGCGTTCTTTAAAAGGCAAATAATTGGGATTAACGTCCAAGTAGACGTCCTTAGGCTCTGGCCTGCAAACGTAACAATTCGGCTAATTGAAAACATTTTGTTTTATTCAAATTCTCCTTCTGAAATGATATAAAAGCAGCAGAAGCTCACAGTTTGCCACCTTCTCTACCAGAGACATTAAACATTTCCTGGTCTTCCAATACGTCTTATTAGTTTGTTTTTCAATTGTTTTACATAAAGACCTCTTAGATTGGTAATCATAGCTGTTAAACATGGATTCACTTGGATTCTCTGGTTTTTCTCCTGCATAGCCTTTAAAATCTCTGAAAAGACTAAATCAGTTTTGAGAATCTTGCTTAGACTAAACTTTTGCTCGATCATTTTTTAGGGTGACTTTAATCCAAAATTAGTTCTTTGTGAAGCAGAATGTGTCCAAATTTATATAACTTTCCAAAGAGACCTACTTTATAAATCCGTAATCATCATTCTAACAAACACATAGTTAATTATATTAAGGTAGCTGAAAAAGAACTGCTCGTAAAATTTTAAGATACCAAAAAATCCTTTTGATGAAAACCATGAGTTAAAGGCATAGTGGAGGATTTTAGGGATTTTATTGACAGGACTTAAAAAAAATGCGCATGCACAACCCTGTACCCGCTCCTGAGAGGCAATGCAGATTAAACATGTCCGAGAGCGTGCACGAGCTCATTTCTCCTCGTGCACAATTGGACAGATGATCACTACTTTTAGCTCCGTTGGTCACGTAACTCCTCCTCCACTGCGCGGTGCCGGCGCCATCTTTGTTATTAGTCGCTGCTGTCAGGCAGCGAGGTTGCTGGCACAGCAAATCCCATAATGCTTTGCAAGGACAGCTCTCCATGCAATGCATTCTGGGATATATCTGCCTCTTCTGAGGTATTTGTTTTCTTCTTGTCCAATTCGTAGACGCTATTTCTCTTCCGACCCTCGGCCATTTTCAAAGAACCGCGATAAGAAAGGTGAGCTTCAATGACTGCCTGAAATCGTAGCTCACCACAGATATACGCCTAGAAGTGGGTAGAAAAATATCGCTAACAGGACGATCAGGTAGGACGGCCTTACGTAAACACATCACCAGAATGATTGACAGTTAGGAGGACCAATGATTGAGATGATCCACCCGGAAATAAAAGATCCTCCTTTATAGTTTTAAACAAAGTAGAAGAAATGTTCTTCTGTAAATGTTTTAAGGATTGTAACCAGTCTGCAGGTAGAGCATCAAAACCAAATAAAGGATTAACGATAACAAGAAAGAGCAAACCGAAGGCAATTTAATAAAAATATTAAACCGACTGACCTTAAAGTTTAGGAGCGTTGGCTGGAATCAAAACTCCAAATAACAAAACAAACTCGATAAAAACTCTTAAACTATAACGTTTAATGAAACAGAGGTCTTTGCTCTGCAGCCTTTAGATATAATTCTGCTTCCAAACATTGAGTTTTCCCGTTTTTTTGACTCGTTAAAAGTTAAAAGTTTAAAAGCTCAGGACCCCAGAGCTCTAGGACCAGCGTAGAGAAACTACAGGTTGGTTGGTTTCCTGTAGGATGGAGGGAAAGTCACCCGGTTTCCTTAACAAAGGGAATCTAGTCTGGAACAGTTTTTGTAAACTTGCTTTCCATCCTTTACCGAATGTTTTAAAATGTTGCAGAAATATCTCTAGTAGAATCCATCAAGACCGACCAGATTCATTTCCATCTTGACAGATAATACATGTTTATTCCAGATTTTACCCTCTAATGCTGGATGGTCTTTGCAAAGTCTAAAGACGCTGCAGGTTCTGTCCGACATCTAATGCTTATTAGGCTGCAAGAAGCGGTTTATGGAAAGCCCACTAAACTCTCTGTTGGCTAACAGATAAAAAAATGCATAAAGTCTACAAACTTTTATGTATCACAAACCTGCAAATATTTAATGAGATCTAGAACCACTAACTGAGTCCAAC